CACAGGGACCAGCAGGGAGCAGAGACCGGGGTCACGGGGACCAGCAGGGAGCAGAGACTGGGGTCACGGGGACCAGCAGGAGAGCAGAGACCACGGGTCACGGGGACCAGCAGGAGAGCAAAGACCACGGGTCATGGGGACCAGCAGGAGAGCAGAGACTGGGGTTACGGGGACCAGCAAGGAGCAGGTGCGGGGCAAACCGGGGCCAGATCCACCTGCGGACTGCCGCCTCCTGCGCCCCTTTACTTCATGGACATCAGCATATAAAAACATTTTTTTCCAGAGCAATCCTAAAATCTGAGAATTTCTGTGTAAATATTAAGTCCAAAAAGCTTACAAACCAACCAAATAAACAGACAAAAAGGGATAAAGCCCAGTTCTCTAGCACATCTTTAAAAGAGACTCCCAGGGACAGAGTAACAGTGACCAGGAACCCTGAGCCTGGCCTCAGCTCCCAGGGAGACTTCACCTCACCGCTGCGTCCGCCTTAACAACAACGCAGGTTACCAGCCTCCCTTGCTGCCAGAACCCTCTCACCTAAACCCAGAAACCAGAGAGATGCAGACAAGTCGGAGACACTGTGGTAGGCAGTCAGCAAGAGCAGGCAGCCCTAAGAGAAAAGCAAGAGAAAAGCAAAAGGATCAAAAAGACCCAAGCCAGCGTTTTGGTCTACGCCCTAATTCCCAGCAGGGCGATAAACTAATTAGGCAGTCTAATTAAGCAACCTGGCTCACACTGGGCATGCGCAGTCAGGTCATCAAATTCCTCATTCTTGACCTGCAGGAAAGCGCGCAAAGGCGCGGATTCAAACTCAAACAAAGGACACAGGTCACATGACAGTCCGCCTACCCATGAATACTGGTGATCACCTCTGGTAATACAAACATCGTTAACCAGTACCAAACGCAGTTGCCACCTGGCAATCTGCCCGCCCAAGAGTCTTTTGGGTGTATTTCTTCCTATTAAATCTTCTTTTCTACCTACTTCATTCGTGGTTGCGGTTTCACTTTGCGCCTAGGGACAGATCTCTAATTTTAGTGACCTGGATCCAAAGAACCAAGGACTTCACAGCGCAGCTCGACACTCTCCCACACAGCTCGACACTCTCCCACCCGTTGACAATACCCCTTCGCCTGAAATTCATTAGCAAATTCATCTGGGTAAAATGCTTTGCTATCTGAACCTGCTGTACCTAGAGCACTGCCACCCAAATCCAAGAGCCCTGTTGATTCGGAGCAGGGTCCCCATGTGAGCACCTGTGTGTGGCAGTGAGCGACCTCGGACCAGAGTATTAACACCACAAAGCAACAGGCACTCGCCTCACAGAGTCTGAACCCTCCCCAGGTGGCAGGTTCTTTCAAAGTTCAAAATGAAAACAGCAACACTCAAAATTACAAGGAAACAAAGTGGGACATAGTGCATCTGTCACCCCACAAATCCACCCCTCAATTAAAACCAAGAGCCAAGAGACCAGCAGGTGGCACAGAAGTTAAGGCTCTGGATCCCATGTAGCCAGCTTCACAGTTCTAGGTGTGGACCCCGAGACTTGAGAATCACACCGGGCTCCTATGTGTGCATGTCCAAAAATCCTGTGAGGAGAGTGGAGGAAGGACTGCATCCTGGCCATCCCTCAGGGAGTGATGTTTCACTTCCCCTTTCACTATCTCTGTTTCTCTCCAGCAAGCACACCACATGGTAAAAAACTTAAAACAACAACAAAAAAGGGCAAGGGGAAACCAAAGATGTTTTAGGTTTACTTGTTATGAGAAACAGAGAGAAAGACAAGGTCCTGCCACGCCGGGACTCTCCCTGTAGCCTCCTGCTGAGCCAGGGTCCAGGCGGTGCAGGCGATCCCGAGCCCAAGTGAGCCTGCGATCCATACCCAGACCTCCCACGCGGCTCCAGTTACCCTGGGCAGTGCCCTATTGCCTGTGTCACAGTGGCTGACTTTTAATTACCCTGGAATAAGGTCTTTGAATAAACTACTTACTGGCATGAAAAAAGGTTTTAAATTCTGATCCCCAGGCTTCTTCATATGTTAAATGGCATAAAATCTTTTTTTTTAAAGAATTATTTTATTTAACTTTATTTATTTATTTGTTTTAATTTGACCAGAGAGGAACAGAGACAGAGGGGGGATGGTGGGGAAGGGGAGTGGGTGGAGGAGAGAGAGAGTGAGAAGGCAAGCTGCCAGGTCCGGACTTGAAACATGGTCAGCCATGTGGGACTCCAGCACCCTAACCACCACACCATCTGCTGGCCCCAAAACGGCATAAAATCTCTACCACCTTTAAAAATCACAAGGTATCTAGGACCAGCAGGTGGCATAGTGGTTAAGGTGCTGGACTTCCACATGGCTGACCATGGTTCAAGTCCTGGCCTTGGTTGCTTGACAATCACACCAGGTGTGTGTGTGTATGTGCCCAGAACCCAGGAGGAGAATGGAGGGGAAGGGACTGCAGCATGGTCATCGCCCCTGGGGGTAGAGGTAGGGGTGATTTCTCATTTTCCTTCTCACTGTCTCTGTCTCTGATGAAAGTATGTACCCTATGGCAGAAACCTTAAAAAAAGAAAAAAAAGAAAGAATACAAGGTACCAACTAATTGTAAAATGCTTTGAAGATACTGAGGGAGGGGCCAGAGAGTGGCATGGAACTTAACGTGGTTGGGTCCCATGTGGCCAACTGTGTGGATCAAGTCCCGAATCCAGGGGCGTGAAAACCGCATGGGGCATGTGTGCGTGCATGCCCAAAATACCAAGAGAATGGAGAAGGGATTGTGGCGTGGCCGTTCCTGGCCAGGGGTATACTTTCTCTCTGTTCCTCTGTCTGTCTCCCTCTAATAAGCGCGCACACACATACCATAACAGGAAAAAAAAAAGATATGGAAGGAAATAAATTTGCTACCCTAAAGGAAATGGTATTAATTTGCGGTATTTTCAGAAAAACAAAACAAAAAAAAACAGATTAATCTCAGTAGAAACAAATATGCTATTATAGAGTTACCTTAGAAGTATTCATATTTATTAAGACCTCACTGACTATCAACTCTACAATCTTTTCTTTTTTGGGGGGGGGGATTTTGCTATAGGGCACATGCACTCGCCAGAGAGAGACAGAAAGCGAGAAATCACCCCCAGGGGGGATGGCTATGCTACAATCCCTTCTCCTCCATCTCCTCTCGAAATCTTGGACACACATGCACACACACCGGGTGTGAGTTTAAGCCACCAGGTCCGGGACTTGAACCACGGACAACTATATGGGAGTCCAGCAACACAGCCATTATGCCAACTGCTGGTCCCTCAACTCTACAATCTTAAATATGGCAATATCCTTGGAAAATTCTCAACCCACGGGCTCAAGATCCTATTCGACATTCATTCACTCAACGGATCATTGTTTTTTAACAAGAGCAAGTGAGCACAGGTGCATGAGAAACAGATGGGTATGCATGACAGGTCTCTCTGTGATCCTCCTGCACCAGCCTCCCAGGTAGCGAGGGCCACAGGCACCACCCCAAACAGCTGGCTCTGCGATTTCCTCTTCCCCCATTCTCTGCCCTTTAAAAGAACAAACCTGAGGCCAGTTTGTGATCGCGGCTTTCTCCGTCAGAGTCGGGACAACCCAACCTCACTTTTCTATACTTATATGTCTTTGTGTGTTTATTTTTGTGTTTATTTCTAATCCACAGCTCTCCCCCGAGAAAAACCAATTATTCTGCCAAGCGGGACTCAGTCTTTTAGCTTAATAGGGGAAACTATAATTACTCATTGCTATTTCACAAGCTGGGATTCTGTAACAAACGGATCATTTGATCAGTAACATTCTAGATCAAAATTAGAAATTAACTGACCCAGAGAACCACGTAAACTGTTATGCGACACTACTTTTTATATTACGTTAGCCAACAGGTACAGAGACTCTCTCTGTCTTCTAAACCACTGGTGAGCACAGTACAAAAGCCATTGCCTATGACATACTGTACCTTTTGGTTTGATTTCTCTTCCCTTGAATGGCTAAAACGTGTAAGCTAACACAAACCTGTCACAGTCCGCTGGCCATCACTTAGGTTATTCCACCACTTGTTAATCTAAAACAGAAAGAAAACTGCATTATCACCACTTGTGAAATATTTCCAGACAGGGAAAATGAAAATCCCGGAAGAAAATGTTGGTGCCTAAAAGAGAGACTCTTCATCTGTAAAAACACTAGTAGCCATCGAACATAACAGGTAGTGGAGTGGAAAAGGCATGTGGGTTTATTTTTGCTTGTCTTTTTTTGGGTTTTTTGGAGAAGTTTTTGCTATAGGGTGCGTGCCCTCACCAGAAAGACAGAGAGAGACAGAGAGACAGAAAGCAAGAAATCACTCCTCAGTGGGGAAGGCCACGCCACAATCCCTTCTCCTCCATTCTCCTCTCGGGATCTTGGGCACACATACACATGCGCCCGGAGTGAGTTTAAGTCACCAGATCCAGGACTTGAACTACGGTTGACTACATGGGAGTCCAGCAACATAGCCATTACGCCAACTGCTGGTCCCAAGGCATGTGTTTCACAGTCAGATGAATTACATTCTACACAGAACCACAGATTAGCTCCAGGACCTAAGACAAATTATTCCTAACTTTAGTTTACTGATATACTGGTTGGCTGGAAAACTCATGATGTGTTTTTCTATGAAAAAATGCATCATAACTTTTCCAACCACCCGATATAACATAAAATGAGACAACAGACACCTAAGCAGTGCTGTCGCGAAGAATACCAAGACCTAGCACAGTGGATAGACAGGTGCTAAGTAAGGGATGATTTGCCAAGGTCTTAACTAGCTTTAAAATTCTGAGAAAATTGCTACTTAAAATTTTAATTTTTTAAGTGGAAATATTTAACTTGGTGGGGGGGAACAGCAGTTAGCATAATGGCTATGTCGCTGGACTCCCAATGTAGTCAACCGTGGTTCGCGTCCCAGACCTGGTGGCTTAAAACTCACGCCGGGCGCGTGTGCGTGCGTGCCCAAGATCCCGAGAGGAGAATGGAGGAGAAGGGATTACAGCGTGGCCATCCCCCCAAGGGGGGTGATTTCTCGCTTTCTGTCTCTCTCTCTCTCTGTCTGGCGAGCGCATGTGCTCTATAGAAAAAAAAAAACTCTCAAAAAAAAAAAAAATTTAACTTGGAACCAGTGGTTGGCATAATGGCTTTTGCCACGGACTTCCAACCGCGTTTCAAGCCCGGGAGCCAGTGGCTTAAACTCATGCCGGGCACATGCGCATCCATACCCAAGATCCCGAGAGGAGAATGGAGAAGAGACTGTGGTGTGGCACACATGCACGTGCACCTAGCGTGAGTGAACCACCAGGTCCGGGACTCGAACTGCGGTCGACTACATGGGAGTCCAGCAACACAGCCATTATGCCAACTGCTGGTAATCACCCCTCAATCACCCAATCACCCTGGGGGGTGATTTCTCACTTTTTGTCTCTCTGTGAGTGCACACATCCTATAGCAAAAAAAACTTCTCAAAAAAAATTTTATTATTTTATTTAACTTTATATATTCATTGATTTTAAATTGACCAGAGAGCGATAGA